GTACTGATGTGTGATATACAGCCTTTTTCTACCTCCTATTTGTTGCCAGTGCTGTAAACTTCATGAAGCCATCATCATTTAAGGAATGTTACTGTACCCATATGGCAGGGAGACAGGCTCTTGCACACACACCAACAATTAATTCCAGTAGTAGTTTTCTTATAGAGCTGAAGTAAAAGCTGAGTTCTTTCTATTTTCATTATACTCAGACCAATTTAAAAGTATTCTCATGTTTCATAGAATCATAGAATCTTTAAGGTTGGAAGGGACTTTAAAGATCATCAAGTTCCAGCCCCCCTGCCATGAGCAGGGAGCCCTTCCACTAGATGAGGTCACACAAAACCTCATCCAACCTGGCCTTAAAAACCTCCAGGGATGAGGCATCAACAACCTCCCTGGGCAACCCATTCCAGTTCCTCACCACCCTTAGAGTGAAGAATTTCTTCCTAATATCTAACCTAAGTCTCCCCTCTCAGTTTAAAACCATTACCTCTTGTCCTATCACTATCTTTTCTGATGAAAAGCCCCTTCCCAGCTTTCCTGTAGGCCCCTTTCAAGTACTGGAAGGTGCTATAATGTCTCCCTGAAGCCTTCTGTAAGCTGAACAGCCCCAAATCTCTCAGCCTGTCTTCATAGCAGAGGTGCTCCAGGTGCTTTGATCATCTTGGTGGCCCTTCTCTGGACCCTCTCCAACAGCTCCAGATCTTTCCTGTGCTGAGGGCACCAGAACTGTACACAGTATTCCAGGTGGGGTCTGATCAAAGCAGAGTAGAGGGCAGAATCCCCTCCCTGGCCCTGCTGGCCACACTTCTTTTGATGCAGCCCAGGATGTGTTTGGCTCTCTGGGCTCCAGCACACACTGGCAACTCATGTTGAGCTTCTCATCTACTACCAGCCCCAAGTCCTTCTCCTCAGGACTGTTTTCCAGCCATTATCCCCCCAGCCTGTATTTGTGCCTGGGGTTGTGCCACCTTGCACTTGGCCTTGTTGAAGTTCCTGAGGTTGTCATGGGCCTCTCCAGCCTGTCAAGGTCCCTCTGGATGACATCCCTTCCCTCTAGGGTGTCAACCACAGCACACAGCTTGGCATCATCAGCAAACTTGCTGAAGATACACTCAATCCCACTGTCCATGATGTTTAACAGCACTGGTCCCAGTATTGACCCCTGAGGGACACCACTCGTCACCTGCCTCCATTTGGACACTGACCCATTGACCAGAGCTCTCTGAGTGTCTCCATCCAGCCAATCTCTTATCCACCAAGTGGTCCATCTGTCAAATCCATGCCTTGTCAGTTTGAAGACCAGAATGTCATGTGGGACAGTCTCAAACACCATGCACAAATCCATCCATTTTGATGATATTTGTCAATAGATTGTATCTATCACAGAAATGGCCCGTCACAAGGGTGAAGGTTAATTTGTGCATGAGACAGCCTTCTTGGTTGGACTAAACCCATGTAGTTACCATATAATTCTGCAGATGCTCGTATAACAGATGAAACTTACCTTCTCACCTTCTCATACCTTTGATACAGAGATGATGATGAAAAATGCTCTGAAGTACACAGATGCTTCCAATTAGAAACATGTTATAAGGATTTTTTTTTGAAAGTTCAAGTTATTATTTTTTTTCCTAAAATAAACTTGGCTTAAGTGATTAAATTTCAAGATAAATTGCTTCCTAATTGTCCTCTTTTCTGATTATTTGCCCTAAGTAGTTCTAGGACATCAATACATGCATACATATATAAGAGCAACTATAAATAAGCCTACTGGCTTCTTTATACACATTTTGCATTTTCTGTTCCTCAAGAAGAGCATAGAGGACAATATATGATGAAGAAGTACTGTTGCAAATCTGACCCTTGAGGGTTTTCATTAGATAATCAGATAATCTTCTCTTTAGTGCCAAGGAAATGCTTGGACACCTCAAGTCTATCAGGCAGTATGACACTTTTTTACTGATATGAGTGAAGTCTCCCCAGTTTTTGTGTTTCACTCTACTTCAACAACATTGTCCAAACCTCTCATATCAGTGAATAAAAGTTAAAGAGAGATTTTGGAAAAATCTTCAGGGAAAAAAAAAATTATCACCGTTTTACATTTGAGATACTCATGTGCAGATTATCTATGGTTTATCTAAGATTATATCACAATTGTTTGTCAGATTCTGGAATTAAGTTAGCTGCTCCACATTCTAGTCCCCTGCCTTGAACTCAGGCCATCCTTTAATGTTGTTTATGAAAGAATCAAACAGTATTTATTTGACCCAGACTTCTAATAGTCCTTGCATGAGTTCATAAGTATGGAGCGAGAAGCAAGAGGCTTGAAGCAACTATGGAAGCAACTCAAGTAACTCCTGCTGTGATGTTGCTTTGGAGGATGTATGTAGGCAGCACTTGCTTTTGCTTCTTCAGAGGACAAGTATCTGAAAACTGAAAGCAGGAGATTCAAGCTATACCCTTGACCCACCCCTCTGGCCTACGGTTTCAGTTTTGTGTAGGGCGAAATGATACTGTAACTGCCTAGGGACGGATGCAGCTTGTACAGCATCACGTAGAAAACAGTACAAAGAAGGATTGTGTCTACCTATTTGACTTGCTTTCTTCCCTACTGCTATCCTATTCCCTACTGTTATATCCCATATTCTAATTCTTTATTAAGCACAGTATAAAATAATATTCCAGTTTGTTTTGTGGGAAAACAGTGTCTATAAAGAGATGTTAAGAAGAAAACCAATGAAAAATTGGAATTACCTTACTCCACTCTAACTGTAGTGAAAAAAAAGAGAAATTACTTTGCATTACAATAACCCAAGACAGATTTGTATGAAAGGTCATTGCTTCTTTGCAGTGTCCGATTTTATAATTTAATCATCAGTAGTTTATGTAAATGTGTGTTATTAAGGTTAGAAAGTGGAGAAAGCCAAGCAACAAAAGTAAGCTTAAATAAAGTGACGACAAACAAAATGTTGATGCATTTTCCCCTGTCTAGACCCCTGTGTTGAAAGTAGTGTTTTCATAAAACTCAGACAGAATTCATTTCCATACTGAGTGCTTAATAGTTCCTGTCAGAACAAAACAGCTGGGAAACATATGGTATCCATTTCCCTGTATCACTTGGAAAAAATTTCACATGTAAATAAAACCAACATAAAAGTGTAGGCCTTTGAACCTAGAATCTTATACAATACATAAATAAGTCAGTACAGTGCGTTCTTTGTATTGGCCCACTAAGCTACATGCCTTTTGGTTATTATTTTTTTTTTATTTCTTCTTCAGAAATGTATTCTTAAGCACTTCCAAAAGTATTAAGGTAATTTTCAGGCATCCGTAACTATTAAGCTACACTAATCTTTCATTTCAGACATTGACATTGCACTGAAAGTATATATATCTGTTTCCTTAGGAAGGTGTTCATGGCAAATTGTGTGTTTTGACCACAAATTAGATCCCACTGATAGGCAGTTAGCACATGTAATAAATCTGCTTTGTTTAAACAGTATTCTTGACTTTCAGAATGCATTAACTCTTCATGTACATTTAAAGAGGCACAGAAACTGCCTAAAGGCTTTAGTGGTTTTAGTGCTGTCCTCAACTGAAAATAACAAAATAAGGAGAACTCTCTGCCAGAGTTCCACTGATCTGGAGATCATAAATATCGCCAGATGGGACTGTGTGAAAGAGTGCAAGTTCAGTAGGATTGAGTTGAAGTTCAGCATGATTAAGGGTTCAAGTGCCTTGAGCTCCCTTTCTTCTCTGCAAGTCAGATTCACTAGTCAAACTCCATATCCTGCAGTGCACTCAAATAATGGTCTGGAGGGTCCAGGATATATATAAAAGGGAAGGAAAGTTTGACAGAGAAGCCCAGCATACAGCATAGAAATGGAAAAGGAAACATTATACCTGAATAAGTAGGCTGAAGTTTCAGATCAAGGAATCACAAAATGGTTGTGGTTGGTGAGATCCGTTTGTGATCATGTAGTCCAAGCATCCTGCTTAAGCGGTGTCGTGTA